CGTGGATAATGATCACCTGTTTGGAACAGACGCGCTGGACATCGCTGACACAGTGCAGGTCGTGCCTAAGCACAGCACCTGCTGATGCCTCGCCCCTAAACGCAGCAGGCTTATCATTTATCATCGCGATGTCTGACTGGCGGATCATTACATCGTGCTGGCAAAACTCTGAGATTCAGACGAGAGTCAGAGCCTCAGGTAGGTGAGCTGCGGGAAATGCTCACGACAACAACAACAACAACAAGAAGAACAACCACCACCACAACAACCACAACAACCACAACAAACACAACCACCACAACCACCACGACCACGACCACGACGACGAGAAAGGCAGCCACAACCACGACCAACATCAACTTAGTCCGTCTCTCTCTTGTGGCAGGCCACTGTTCCAGCGATCATGTCTGCTGCGGCTGTTAGTGCGTCTCCGTCTCTTCCGACTGTCATTCGCCTCGGTGAGTCCGAGCGTTCAAGTTACAGATAAAAGCTCTTTTCTGGGCAATCGTAGATTGGCAACATCTGCTGCTGGTGCAAGGAGATGCATGAGAATATGGAAAGACGGCCGAGAGTCGTCAACGGCATTCATCTTTTGTCGAGACTTTGGCTTTTCCTTCAAAGATTCCCGGCTGCTATGCGCAAAGTCAGTTTCAAATGTTCATTCCAAAGTGAAAACTGCCTGGCAAATCCGGGATTTCAAGCAGACGTCATTGGAACTTCTCGGGGCCTCCTCGTCTGCCTGCTTGTGGCGTTCCGCCGGCTTCAACCTTTCTTCGAGCTCCGAAGTCTTGCGATGATCCTGGGCTCCATTGCTGCATCCGCGGTGCTGAAGCATGCGCAGACGTCGAATTCGCGATGCATGCAGGCTCTGTATGGTTCGGATGAACATGCTGAAGCTCCGGCTTCTTCCTGCCCAACGAGAGAAATCTACATGATCTACATGTAGAAGTACCAGCTGCCACCAGGACCGCACAGCAGCAACTCATTGTAAGATAAAGCAAGCACACCATCCCCATGCCCGGATCAAACCGGTCTGCAATGCAGTTCTTGCAGTCGCGGGACTTGCTTCGGGGGATCTGGTGTCGTGCTCGGCTGACTTGATGCCCGGGCCTTGCTGCGTCAGCGAGGGAATGGAGCTAGGAGACCCTTGCAGAGCTGTTGCGTTTAGGCGCCTTGGGCTTGTGGGGTCGCTGCGCCCGCTTTTTCTCCAGCACCTCGAACTTGTCACGAACCTGCTTGTAGCCTGCAGGCACGAATGCAAAACGGTATGATGTGTTGAAAGTCCACCTCAGATCAGTGCAAGAAGCACCTTCGTGCACACGAAAGTTCAAATGCGCTTCGTACTCTTCCTGGTCGAGGTAGCCCGTTCCGCACACCTCGCAGACCTGTGGCTTCAGCTTCTCTGCAGCTTTGCGCCTCGGGGGAAGTTTCTATATTGACACAAGCATACGCAAGCTGACCGACTTCATGACTGGCTATCTGTTCCGCCTGCCACTTGCAAAAGCTTCGATCTTCATCAAAAAAACTGCGCTGGGGATTATGCATTCTTTGCAGCCAAGTTGCAGCTCGAGCCTTTGCAACGACTCAGCCTCTGCATTGAGTTCCCGAACTTGCCGGCGAAGAGTTGATCTCGGCCAGGGAAACCCGATGCAGACACCACTGAAGGCATTAAGCTCCTGGTGGGCCCCTTAAGCTCCAAACGAGAGTACCCGAATGTAAATGACTCCCATCGCAAGGGGAAGCCCAAGAGGTAAAGTCTGCTTTTCGGGTTAGAACTGGATGGGCACTTCCCAAGCCAAGTGTCGACATGTTGTTGTATCCGCCAGTGGTTAGCGCCATGGCCTCGAGCAACTGCAGCTTCTGATTTCTTTCGGCTACTCACATCAAGCACACAATCCGAGTGTCGTACATCCAGGTCTTCCGCTCGCTTCAAGTTGAAAGCTGCCTGCAAAGAGTATGCTAGTAGGAGATTTTCAGATCAAGCACCAGCACCACGAATACGAAATTTGCCGATTGTCCAATACTCTCGCTGTTTCTTCAACAACTACAACAATGGTTGCAACAGACCCCGCCGGACTACGCGCTTCCCAAACGATGCGCCACAGCTTGCACTCCGCTGGAGCAAAGTCGTGCGATTCGAGATCGGCGGGCTCTCAACAAGCTGCATCGTTGGGTTGCTGCTGAACTACTGAACTAGTTGATGGGGACAAGTGCTGGTGCCTGCTAAATGGAGTCCGAAGTGATGCATGATCTGAAACATACCTGCGTGCACGGGTCACCCCGGAACATTGGAGGCAATCGGATTTGCCACAGCATGGACGCCTAGACTTATGGGTGAGCCCATGTTGATACTGTGAGGTTTCATCGTGTTCAGCCGAGATTGCCTACCTGTGGTATCTTCATCCTAATACCATTCCTTTGTTTGCAACGGCTGGTTGGTGCCTGTGTTCAGCCATCGTGTCACCACTTGACACATTACACTTCAGCCGCCTCCGTTGCAAAAGAAATCGATTGGAGTGGCCTACAAATTTGGAGTAGACCGGTCCGCCTTACTCTCAAAAAACGAGGCTTTCGAGATGCCTCGTCCTTCATTACCTTGAGCTTCTCCTTCACCTCCTCCGGCAGAGCACGCCGCCTGGGGTCATCCTTTAGCCGCTCCAGCTCTTGCAGGCTGAAGGTCTCAAACTCCTTCGCCGGCTGAGGCTCAGAGCTCGGGGCGGGGGGCATGGGGGGGGGGGCTTGGGCTTTGGGTCTTCGGGCTTTGGTTGCCGGTGGCTTCTGGTTAGGCGATTCTCTGCGGGCAGAACCGAATCAATCATGACAGGCAGAGCAGCTAAAGCTGCAAGATGCCATTGCAGTCCAAGGCTCTGCGAGAATCTCTTCGCACAGACTGAAGCACTCGTCCTCCTGTGCCACTGTTGTCGGCCCTCCCCGATTTGGGCTGAAGCTGAACTTGCCCCACTCGTGGCACAGCACTTTAAGCAGAGTTGCCACAGATGCGAGAAACTTGGGCTGTACGTGGCAGTACTACAAGAGAGTACAGGAGAGTAGAAGCAGGTCGACTTCCAAGGCTGGCAACAGACTTCTTCGTGCCCAGGCGGCATATTCGAGTCGAAGCTCACTCTGCTCCGCACCATCTGCATGCTGTAGAAACCTGTCCTCATGGCGGAAATGCATAAAAGCAACATGTCGACCTGCTGGAGACTTCCTGCTATTCATGCTGCGACCGAGCAGGTGGAATTCATGGAGCCAACTGCCGGCGAGACAAGCCGCTCGAATGATGTCGGAATGAATTTTCGGGCATACCTTCAAGTCGCGCTTCTGGATTCCACCCAGCACGGCCTTACATCAGAATCATCTAGATCGACTCAGAACGTCGACTGTCAAAGTCTGGACCTCAAGCCTCTACGGAACAGGGGATGTGATGTACTGCTTGCCTTCTACCATTGCCTACGCATATGCCTACAGCCACTACAGAACATGACCCTTACGATATCCTCTACCAGTGACCCCGACGATACACCTTGAACTCTAAACCAACTAAAATAAAAGAAAAACAAGCCCCAGACAGCATGAGTACTTGCTGAGGTGAGAGAGGGGGCTGTGCCAGCTCAGATGGGAGCCTTGTCGTAGGGGCACAATCCAACCAAAAAGCTTTTGCAAACCTTGGATGGCCAAAAGCGGACAAGCCCATCAACGCACAAGACTTGACTATGAAGTGCTCAACGCATGCTTTTGTGACTTTTGTGCGGGCCGATGGGGTCCCAGCAAGCTGGGACCATGGCAGTCTTGTCTTTCCAGTCATCTGACGAGTGTTTGCCTTTCTTGCCTCACGGGCATGGACACAAATGCACAAGTGTGACAGGTTATTGCCCAGCAGGAGGATGAAGCTAGTGACCAGCGACGAGCCATTGACATTATTGATGCTTTGTACCTGGCTTGATATGATCACGAAAGCCCAAGGCGCGCGTGTCTCGCTGAGGGCCCATGAGGGCATCGAGCATCGCACGTGCCTCATTCATGCCTGGGTGATTTGAGTCTCAAGAAACCGTAGGGCTCGAGAATAATCCATACATTCCAGAAATCTTGCCGGTTTGCTGATAGTGAAGTGACTTTAGTGGTCACTGGGCTGACTCTCACAGGCTACTGGAATCAACACTCAGCCTACACCCAGCATCGGTCCTGAAACTGGCACCAGCTCAGCTGGCGAGCGCCACTGGAGCACTTGCCCGCACCATGGCCCAGGGAGCAGGCACGACGACACGAGAGAATTGAAACCCTGCCATGATGGGCCAGGATTGAACAAAGACTACAGAACTACTACAGACCTCTTTAGACTCTTTAGACTTGTTTTGCAGCAAGACCGCCGGCCGCTGCGATCTTCGAATGAGCTTCGTCTAGGCCAAAGCATCGAGCAGTTGCACTGTAGCACAATCTGTAGCTGCACCCAAAAGCGCCAGCGGTTGCCTGGAACAGGTATTCGAAGTCTGCCTCTTCAACATCCTGAATGCCAACATCGTCCTTCACCTGGCTGCACACAGAAGGTCTTCTGCGAAGACCGGGATCCTTCAAGCGCTCACACAGAGCAGCCGAGACAGGCTCAGTCGTTTGCGCAACACTAAACCTCAAACCAGGAATGAATCTCGAGAAGAGGAGCAGATTTCATGGCCGTCGGCAAAGCCGGATCGCCTTAATCACGAGCTAAGCATTTTTTCATTAGATGGGACACGGAGCTTCTGCTCCATTCCCTCTCTGGCAGACTAGTGCAATCCAGGGTCCCATTTTGATGTGGCCCGTCGAGCAGTTCCACTTGCCACCGAAGTGCCGCTTCTTAGGCGAGCGTTGCCTTGAGACTGTGCCAGGATGTGCCAGGGTTTTGCCACAGTACCACCTAGCACTCGGGGAGGCCGGGGTATGCAATCACGTCGCAACCAATGCGCCTTTGCGGTTTGCTGCACACGGTTTGAGATAGTTTATGCTACAACCCGGACATACGACCACCTGTCCCGCTTCAACGACGGTGGGTTCATGTCGGTTCTCAAGCCTGGGGCGAGGTTGCTGCTTTCGACTCTCACGCCTGCCTGGTGCGAGTGTGAGGTTGCTGCTTTGGAAGTTGACGATTTCGGAAATCACTCAGGCACTGAAGTTCACGTTTGGATTCGGAGAACTCGTGTCCCAAGCCATGACGGCATGGTAGGCTTTGACAGCAATGAATGACGCACCAGCACTTGTGCCTTACAGGAGGTAAGTAGGCAGCAGTCTGCTCATGACCGAGAAGCTGGATGAGAAAGCGGCCGCCTTCTATATCGAAGACCCAAACCTCGGACCCGGATCCGAGCCGCAAAGCGACGTGTGAGTACGGTAGTTCTCTCTCCCCTCGCGGGTTCGGTCTTCCATCAGCCGCGCTGCAAGCCAGTTGAGACAGGAGTTTACAGTGCGGCAAGCTGCCCATGTTGCTTCCCCGAAGTGGTTCCCCCGTACAGAGAACTAGAGCAGCTCCTTGCAGACTACACATTGCCCGTTGTGGCCAGGTTGCATGAACAGCACGATGCCACACGCTCCTCGGACAAAGCAAAGCCGCATTCATCCCTTGAGGCAAACAGTCTTGTACAGGCTCTCATGACACCTGCAGACCCAGCAGCTCATTGTAAGCTTCGTTTCTTCTGCATGGGTCCACGATTACCTGGTCACCAGCTGGCACCACTGCAGCTGCAATCAACACGCCGACACGCCTTTTCCATACCCTGACCGGGACAGGCTGCATTGAGGTCCTGCGCCCTGCTCAGCATGGAGACATCTCCGATCCTGTCCAGCAGCTGCTGGCCCTTTTTGTTGTGCCGCTCCTGGCACCAAGTTCTCAAACTGGCGGCATTTCGGAGCTGGCATGCCCCAGGCTACCCTGCCACTACCCGTCAGACTCACTTTACGTTGAGGAGAGATTCAGGGCTTGGGCTGTGGAGTTGTGACTACTCAAGACATTGCCGAAGGCAGCCGTCCTCATCGGAGTCAACTTTGGGCAACATATCCAGGTACACGCGGATCTTTTTGTGCAGGAAGTGGAATAGCCTTCTCCTCGTGCATGCAGGGACCCCAAGCAACTTTTTGTGTTGGGCCCCTCAAAATGTGCGAGCTCGAATGAGGGCCAAGTTGCGCATAGTCCGGTGCTGCGACTCGCACGAAGCTCGGATCCCTGGGTTCTTGCAGGTAGACTATGGCTCTGAAGCAGTGCGGAGGCAGTGGACTCTTCCACCTGTGTTTCGATCGGGGCCGGGCTGACTTTGGTAGGCCTGCTCCAGCTCCCCAACACCTGCAAGGAGAGCAGCTGGAATCCTCAAGTCAATGAAGACACCACAAAAACCGCCTAAACCCATCCATTCCTCGTGCCTACATTTTAAGGACAAAGCGGTCCTGGGGTCACGGAACTTAGTATGAGCTTCATCCACCACATCATCTGCCGCGCCTACATACTTCAGCTCCGTCGCTTCTTTGATGTCCTGAGGCGGCATCGAAGGCAACAGAAGCAACCCGAGCCAGCGCTGCGCGCTGAGCCCCGGGCATAAAAGATTTTGTGAAGCTCCGGAGGGTTCTTCCTCGCAGTCGCCAAAACAAAAGAAGGTGCATGCAATCTTCCGGAAGATCGATGTAGTTCGCTGAAGTATGCATGATACATGTTTTTCACCCAGTGCATCTATGAAGAGGTACCCTTAACACTAAAGTACTACTGCACAGAAACGATCAGTGAACCTGCTAGAGTCTAGAGGACTACAGAATGACAACTTTTGCGGTCAGATTCGCAGCCAGAACTGCCAAACACAAGCTCCCACAACCTGACTGCAGCGAAGGCGCAGAGAGACAACATAAACATCTATCCTTGGGCTGGCGTCTCTCAAAGGGAACAGGGTTTAGGGTTTAGGGAGGCTCTTCGTGGAGGTGACTTTGCAAATCTTCTTCTGGAAGACCAAAGACTCTTGGCGGCAGAGCATGCGCTGCCAGGGATCTCGAACCGAGGCCGAGACCACCAGAAGTCAAGATGAGAAACTCTCACCTTCGGCCAAGGAGCCATTGCCGTAGCGCTTCGCCCTTGTATTCGGAGATCTCTTTACAACCTGGCCGAGATCTGGATCTTGTGTGCAGCTTGCTTGCACTCTCATCTGGCAGAAGCTTGGCGAGGCCTCTTGCTGTAATCCACAAAACAAAAAACGCAAAGCAATGTAGCAAACTCTCGACTCCGCGAGCTCCACGCATGGTACATCGACGACGATATCCGACTAGGTGCAGAGCAAGGGCTGCAAACAAATTCGTACATGTGATCCTCGAACTGCATTTCTGACTCAGTGTCCAGGTGTTTCTTGCCTTAGAGAAGTCCGCCGTCTCGCACCCGAAAGGCACAGCAGCCCCCTCTGGCCCCCACCTGGCTCTGAACTCCTAATTTTTGCCAGGGCACAAGCTTCCAACGAAGGCATCCCGGACCTAAAAGTGAAGGGATTCGTGAGAAGAAGACATATCCAAGCTTGGGAAACGACCTTTGCAAGCCCGAATGCAAACACAGCACTTTTGCATTGCATCTAACGTCTCTTCGAGCTGGCAGCGGTGAGCACAGCTACCAGATGCAAGCAGTTTTCAGGGACAACCTTGCAGGGCAAGTTTGGGCCTCGCTCTTATCCGGGACCGTCTCAAACTCAAGCTGGCCTTCTACGCAAAAGACACTGGCTGGAATGATGCACCTAAGAGATTCCGAAAGGGCCAGCATTGAGTTCGTCCTCCCGAAACCAGTCGCGCAACGAATGTCATTAACCGATGCAGTGCTTTGGCATCGTGGAGTGTGTCGCACACGGAGGTGTGTCCGACGTGCAGATCCGTTATCACACCAAAAAGAAGGTTTAAAGAGAAAACATACCGTGCGGAACTGAGGGAACCAGGCCGGTCGAAAGAACAGCTTCCCAAAGCCGATGCCCTCAAAGCGGATGCGGAGCACCTATGCAGATTCTCCAGTGGTTGGAGCTTGGGCCGCTTTCGGGTGTCGAAAGGGAAAGGTGGCGCGAGCCTCCAGGCACTTCCGGGTCAGGACCATCCAAGAGACTCATGGAGCTGAGGGAGTGGTATTGCCTGCAAGTTTTCAGGAGGCCTGCGGCCTCGGCCTTATCCCTAAGAGTTCTGCAGGCAGTTTGCACAGAAGCTGCCGATGCTGTCATGCAGTGCTGACCAGTAATTATGGGCCTCCTCCTCCTGAGTCCTACCGTGTGACGGCTTCGCTGTTGTTCAGCACTGACAGAGTCGGCATCGATAGCTTTGGCATCGACGGACTTGAAAAAGCCTCAGCACGAAGTATGCACCATGCATCAGGCATCAGAACCTACGAAGATGCAACTCTGATGGAACCCTGGCCCCTACTTCCACTTGGTGGAATGCAAAGCCCATCCGTCACTCCCTTCGAGCGGCGATAAAGATGTGCCGCGGAGACGAACGCCACGATCCTTGCGGGGACAGGCCGCTCTAGCGATGGCTTCCCAAAAGGCATTGCTCTAGGACTGCTCGGCTCCCCTTCCCCGCCAAGGCTCAGGTAGCCCAGAATCAGCAGCCAAAAGTAGAGGTAGCCATTCTTCCAGAGCAGCTCGGGGATTCCCGGGCGCCCAGTGTCATCTACAAAGTTCATGCCGTAAACGCCGCACAGAAATTGAGCTGGGCAGAAGATGGTGGTGACCAAAGTGAGCACCTGAGCTGCGTGGAATGGGAACTGGGGTCCCATATTTCCACTTGCTTTGATATATATATATATATATATTTATATATATATATTATATATATATATTATATATATATATATAGCCAGGCTGGGGATGTCTGCTCTTGGATAGTAAGCTTCGGACGAAGAGGATGTTGTTCAGGCGATCGGCTTGCTGGGCTCGCAGCATCTCCTGATCCCTCAGCAGCTGGTCTTGCTCTTGTTCGGCCAACCGATCGTGCATTTGCTGGATGCCTTAGTCTAAGTTACAAGTATGTAGCTCCACCTTAACCCAGCTGCTTAATTCAACGGGTAGTTTCGGATGCAAAGTGAGGCGAATGGCCACCAAGAACATGAGCGGGCGAGCGAGCGAGCGAGCGAGCGAGCGAGAGAGAGAGAGAGAGAGAGAGAGAGAGAGAGAGACCAGTCGCACATCTAAGGCAGACCATCCACCTTAACAGCCACTGTGCAGCTCTTTCGCGTTATTGCTTCCGAGGTGCCCACGCACTTTTCGGAAAGGCGGCCGGAGTCATCTCGTGCCTCTTCCAAGTGATCCACCACATCGCTGAGATAGCTGAACATTCCTGCGTCTACTGCGATATGTTAGCACAGTCAAGGCAAGAGCCTATCGGCCTACGAGTATTGCTTGCCTTGCAAGGCCCCAAGCCTTCGGAGAAATCTTCGTCGGAGAGCAGCCGCCGGACGACTCTCTGGAGGCTTTTGGCACGGCGATCCACAAGAGCCAGCTGCGTGCGGATGGTTGCAGCCTCCTCGCCCGCCCAATCGACCCTGTTCGCTTGGCTGGCATCCTGTTCGAGGACTTGCAGCCGATTGCCAAAAGCACGCACCACATCACTGATTTCGTCGGCGCAGATATCCAGCACTGCATGCACAAAGAAGTTCGCCCGGCGCTCTCGCAGCCTTGACATGGGCTGTCGCAGCCGCTTCTCGATCTTCATAAGCTTCAGCTCGGGCCTTTGTAGCGTCGTAGACACCAAGGTGTTGCCCGCATGAGGCCATTCCTTCTCGAAAGACTGATCTTCTTGACAGACGGTGATGACCGTGTCCATGTTAGGAGCACCAGAGCAGAAAAAAGACACGTGATGCCCCAGGACCTCAACTGGTCCATGCTCCTTTCGTTGATGGGTCAAAGATATGCGCTCGATGGTGCCAAAGTAGTGATCACCATACCGATCAATCTTGCAAGGGTTCTGCTGGATGGTATCCTCCACTGCGAGGGGGTGCAAGGAGTACTTCACAGCCAGAGCCAAGACCACGGACAGCTCAAGCCCCGTGACGTGCACCCATCGCACCGCAGACTGCCCATGTGATGATCTGTGGCCGAAGAAAAACCGCCTGCATTGATCCTCCGGCAGTGACTTCGGTGTGTCAGGCTCGATACCGCGTGTGCTGTAGTCAGTCACCTTCAAGCACTTAATGGCCTGACAGTGTTGCTCCAGGCCCGTCACCAAGCGAGCCAAGACCGTTCGAGAGACGATGGCCTCAAACTCTGGCAGTTGAAGACCCAAGTCCGCGTTCTGACAGACTGCCGATATTATCTTTTGCCGGATTGGCTTGGCTGGTTCTGGAAGCCCATAAGCCCCCAAGGCACTCGAGAGCTGTCTGCCCGTCTTTAGGAAGTGATATCTGGAAGAGTGGGCCTGGAAGACCTCAAAAATACGCTCAGGACTTAAATCAAAAAGCGCCTCCAAAAGATCCTCCCGGACATCGTCATGGCGGTTGTGAAGGCTAGGCCCGACAAGCTGCGTGGCATCGAACATGCAGGGGCACTCGCCACTCTTCTCCTGCAAGCTCCAGGTGTTCCACAAGTCGCACCAGAAGTCGCCATCCGACTCCAAGGTGTCGAGGCGAAAGCTGGCCTCCGCCTCTGATGCCGACTGCTCCCGCTCGAACTCAAACTTGGGCGAGTTAAGCTTCTGCGCATCCTCCTCCTCCTCTGCGGCATCTCGCTGCCGTTGCGAGGCCGGCCCCGCCGAGAGTTTGGCACGGGACCAGCTGAGCACGCGCGCACGCTGCACCATCGATAAACCGAGCTGCTGCAAGTCTTCCTGGCCCATGTTTGGATCTCGACTCGCAACACAAGAGACTGGTACGATGCAGCACAAGCTTAACAGAGAGGCAACGCCCCGGGCAACAATGCTGTAGCAAACCATCTGGCAATTTTGCATAGGGATCGGGTGGTCCTTGTCAAGGGCTGCCAGGTCGCATTCTTGTTGTATCCTCTCCTGTACCACTCAAGCGGGATGCATGCTCGAGACAACTCAGCAGACCTTCAAGGACTCTAGGGACTCTAGCCCTAGGGTGCATTGCGCCGTCCTGTCGCAGGTGTCGAAGGCTAGCCTGCCAATTCTGTCGGTGGGCTTCCGTATGGTTCAATCCATCTTGGGAGCGCAGGAGAGGGAACAAGAAAAACCAAACAACAAAAAACTAGTTCGAGCGCGCGAGCAAGCACAGACAGAAAGAGAGATCAGAGGCTAATGCGGACCCCAACTTTGCAAATTGCCTGCGACATATCGGGGCAAAGCCGGCGGAGAATCCTTTCCGCCTCATTCTGTGCCGCATCATCTGGGCTTTGCCTTTGATGTGCACAGCCCCCCACACCCACAGACAAAACTGTCGCGACAGTGCATCTTGCGACCTTGGGATCAGCATTAGGGCTTGCATCCCTAGGACCGGAAGCACAACAGCACCATGGAAGCGGATATCGTGCCGAGCCGCAGAAGCAGAGTCTTCGTCCGGAACCGGTTCCTGGGAGTGTTAAAGCTGGAAGACATACTCTGGCGAGTCAAAACAATAAAGTCACTACAACCTGAGATAGTTCCGCCACGCTTCGACCTCTCCAAAACTGAGCCCGTTACCGAAACCGCGGTCATCTTAGGAGACGACCAGGACCCATTAAGCGAGCACTCCTCAAATTCCCCTCAACACTCGCCTCCACATCTCCATCAAGCGCCACAATTTCGCGATTCTAAAGACCGGTGTAGGAGCCACCGTCCCGAATGGGACCATCGGACAGAACAGTGGGAGACGCTAGAATCGCTACTAGTAGAAATACAGCCGGTGGGTGAGGATGGGAACATAATCCAACATCAGTGTCACTTCTTCGCTGCTCAAGCCCAATAACGAAAAGGTACTCTCTCATGGTCGTCACAGCTTGCGATTTCATCAACCGAACGTTGGTCTTACTCGAGAGCCATTCAATTCAAGCCTGCAGTGTAGAATCGACATTACCACCACGTATTCAACAAGGCGGATGAGCATCAGCATCATCGTCATCACCATCAAGCAATTTTCACTTGCCGTTGCAATTTACCCAGTAGGATAAACTCGAAAGTTCGTGAAAGTTTTGGATATGCGATCAGAAGAGAGCACCGGTTATCCGCCGAGCCCGGGGCGGCTCCCAGAAGTTTGTGTTTCACCGCTTCGTGTTGTATAGCGACAGGCCCGACCCCTCAGCGCCTACTGGTACTGGAGGCTTGCGCCTCCGGGCTCTGTGGAGCCCACCATGCATGCACATTCCTTCAACCCCCNNCCCCCCCCCCCCCCCCCCGGTGCTTTCCCACAGTGGCCACCCCATGCCGCACCCGGAAGCAGGCACAACCCTCCCTGCCCTCAGCATACATCTCTTCAAGCCCCCCCACCCGACTATTGCTCATCCACAGCACCCACCGGCACGCCGGGTTTGGTCAGCAAGTAGGGTATTGTAATTTAATTCGAGCA